TCACATGACTGACAGAGTGTGGATGTGAGACAGGAAGGTCAGCTTTTTGTCAGCTTGATACAAAGCAGAGTCATACGGAAGAAGGAACCTTCACTGAGCAGATGCCTTCATCAGACTGGCCTGTAGACCAGCCTGTGCGGCGTTTTTCGTGATTAATAACTGACGTGCACAATGCCACCCGAGCAGGTAGTCCTGGGCTGTAAAAACCAAAAGCAGAGAGAGCCATGGAGAACAAGCCAGCCAAAAGCGTGCCTCCATGGCCTCTGCTTCATGCCTGCCTGGAGTTCCTGCTCTGGCAGTGCACTGTGAGCACAGGCCACAAGCTGCATTTTTTTTTTTTTTTTTTTTGCGGGGGGGGATGTTTTATCACAGCAATAGAAAGCAAACTAGGATATCAAGCAACTTGACTGACAGTCTCCGGCTCCCACACTTCAGTTTGCCCATCACTGCAAACTTCCAAACAGCAGGCATATTTCTGTAACCGCAGCACTCGAGCAGTGCCCTGAATACAGCTGGGGCTTAATAAGGGCGGATCTCTGATTTCCAGTCTTGATTACCCAAGTGTATTCTCTCTCTGAATAACCAAAGCCTCCAGCTCTCTGCTCCCGAATCAGAAAAGTCGCTCCGATTTCCAATGTCCCCCAAAGCTGGAAAGAGAAGCCACCTTTCCTGACTCTCACAGGGGGATTCAGGTACTCACATTCTCCTCACTCAGGTACTCACTCTCAACAAGCGGAGGTTTCAAGGTGGCGGGAGATGGGCAGTGGGCAAGCGCATGCACACGGCAACTAACTAGAGGGGTCAGCAACAGGGAAGGCGCGGAGATTTGCGAGGGCGAGGCTGGGGCGGCTCCTCCCAGATGGTGAACAACAAAGAGGGAGCCAGCCAGCCTTGGGGAAATGGAAGATGATATTCCAGGTCGCGGCAAGCAAGTACAAGGCCACGCAAAGGAATGAGAGGATGACCCGTGCGGCTGAACAGGTTCGACCTGGTGGGAATGTGTATTGGGGCAGAGCCAGGGTCAGAAAGGCAGCAGGGGTCAGTTATGCAGCGCTGCTCTGCACGGAGTAGAGGTCCCCCGGGGAGTTTCAGCAGGTTTGGAATGTACTTTAAGGGTTCCCCCTAGTGGTGTCACGGGGAATGGCAACTTCCGGGGTAAAGGTGGAAGCAGACTGGGCTGGGGAATTCCCGGGGAGGTGGAGGGCTTTTGACAGGCACCACGGTGGGGACAGGAAAAAGTGAGTGATCAGAAGATCAAGCTGATAGGCAGAAGGAAGGGAGGACCCAAAGATGGCTACTGGTAGTTAGGCAGACAGTACCTGGTAAGGAAAGACTTAGAAAGCAGTATAGTGGGAAAGGTGCAGAAAAAAATTCAGCCCACACCCTCTCTCTGTCCGCGGTAAATTGTCAGCGGTCCTGAGCCTCCACGAGGCTGTGTGCCATCTGACATAATTTTTCCTCTGCTCTGCACATGCTTTGCTTCTGATTGGGTTGTCTGTCTGTCTGTTTGTTTGTTTGTTTGTTTTGGACAGGGTCTTGTCAACTAAAGAAGTAGCTCTTGCCTCAAAGGAACAAAGGAGACAGTTTATTCCAGAACCCAGGATGGGTAACCACAGCCTAAGAACAAAGATTCATGTTTCCCCAAATAACACGATCCAAAGAGACAGCAGTCCTGTGAACTGTTGTCACAACAGGAGCAAAGAAAGTCAGACTTTCAAACACACTGGATATGGTAGGTAGCAGCTGCATGGGGCGGGAACTCTGCTACAGGCTGTCTGCGCGTATTCGACAGTATTCTTAACCCTTCGGTTGGCGCAAACTAGGATTCTGTTCTTAAAGCCCAAACGATTTGTGACCTAATGGTCACAAAAAGAAAAAAAAAATGTTAGGTCCCATGCAGAGAAGGACAATAAATGGCTACTGGTGAGGCTGAAGAGGAGCTGAGATAATTAGGCTCTGGACTTGCAACATCGCAAACTCTCCACACCCCTGAGGTTCTAATCAGTCAACCAGCCTTTGCCATCATAGCTTCCTTCTAGGAATTCTAGAAACAGTTCAGAGTCTGACCTATAATAAGGCTGGCCTTATTATACGGCCAAGGGTGCCTTTGAACTTCTGATCCTCCTGCCTGTGGTTCCTGAGTGGTGGCGTTGGAGGCATACACCGCCACACTGGGTTTAATCAGTGCCGGGGGTTAAACCTAAGGGTTCGTCTGTGACAAGCAAGCACTCGACTGCAGCCCAGCAGGGCACCGTGATGTGTGCCTGCTCACCCGGGCATGAGACAGAGATCAACCTGGGTCCTATGGCCAGACTACGTCTCTAGAAAATTGTCCTCAGTTCCATCATCAGCAAGGATCTTCAGAGGAACCAAGCTTTGGAGCTAGACTGGAAAAGCAGACAAGAAACGGCATCCACCCCACCCCCTTGCGAGCATTTCTGTGTGAGCATCCCTGAGGGGCTTCACTAGAGAGCAGGAGTGAGCCCTAACCCTGATTCTGTCTGTGCCCAGAGCTGTATGTCGGCGCAGAACATGATAGAATGCCTGTGAAGCTGGCCATGGCGTGCTTACTGAGTGTCAGCAGGCTGCACCTCAGGAATGCTTTCTCTGCTGCAGCCAGTCACCTAACCACACTCACAGACACTAACTGATCTCGTCTTCATTACTGCCACATAGGTGTGTGTCAGGATTCTCCAGAGAAATGGGCCAACATGCTGTGTGTGTAGAGACAAAAAAGGCTTATTCCAGAAATTGGCTCATGTGACTGGGGAAGCTGGGTGAGCACAAAGTCTGATGAGGGAGCAGGCAGGAGCCTGAGAGCCAGCTGCAGTCAAGCCCAAAGGCAAGCTACAGCCGAGGGCCTTGTTGGCAAGTGTTTGTGTGCATACATGTGCATGTGTGTTCGAGTGTTTGAGTGCGTGTGCGTGTGTGCGTGCAAGCGTGTTCTATTAAGGGCTTCAACTGATCGGATAAGGCTCACCCATATTAGAGAGGGTAATTGGATTTTTTCAGGGTTCACTGATTTAAATGTTAATTTTATTAAACAACAACATCATAGAGACACATAAATTAAGGCCTGAGCAAGGATCTGGGCACCTAAGGGGATATGATGATAACTGTCTCAAGAGAAAAAAGTAACCCCCACAAAGGAGATGCAACCATCTCTAATTTACAGACAGAATAGGCACCGGGAGGGAGAGCATCTCCCAAGAGGCAGAGCCTGGCTCTGCTGCCTGCTGCCTAGCTGCGGCCTGGCACTCTATCCATGCCACTAAGTGGCCGTTACCATAAGCATACCGAGATGTAAATTAAATTTCCTCATCTCTCCTTTTCCTGGATGGAGGTGGAAGGCAGAGAAACTGAGGAGGCAGTCTGGGTGGGGCATGGGGGAGGAGCAGGGCCCCCAACTTAAACAAGAGGACCACAAGGACAATGGGTAAGCTCTACTGCTACAGTGTTATACAGTACTATATACGGCATATATGTGTATAAATATGATTACATAGTACTATAGTTTTATTATGTGCTAAGGGCTGTTCTGGATTACACTGGACAGGTGTATTCATTACTGGTTTAAACTTAATGAAGAACTTCCCACAGCCACACCGGAAGCTGGACTTCAGCAGTAGCTAGTGCACTAGGCTTGAAGTTCAGGCAAGCGTCTTCTTATCAAAAGCCCAGTTTTGCCCCCTAGCCCAGGGCTCCCTTTGGGAGCTGGCTGGTAGTGTTGATGAGAAAAAAAAAAATATCTTTCAGGCTCCCTACTCTCCTTTTCACAAAAGGTGATGCCCTTCTCACTCAGCAGATAGCTAAGACACCCCGGCACAGCTGTCCGTCATGTGGACACACATCCTACCCCACAACCAAGCACGCAAGCTCACTTGAACAGGCTTCAGCCCCTAACACGCTGAGGACCATGTAAGCACTGGCGCTGCAAGGCGTCAGCAGGACCACCCATGCGGACGCACCCCAACACCTGGCCTCCCACACACGGAGACACAACTTTGCTCCTCCCAACGCGCTGGTAAGACAGCATCTGTACACACAACACATCCAAACCTATATTTACAGGGACTCAGAATACAATTACCTCCACCTCAATGCCCACCCATCGCGGGCAGCACACAAGCCTCTACTTGGTCCACAGACACTCGGCATTGAGATACAGAGCCCTAGAACTTGGGCTATTTGACACATCCCCAGGGGTCAGCCTCTTTAGAAGACTGTCCGTGACGTCCCGCCATGGCATACAGGAAATACATATGCCAACATAGCTCCCTCTGCCTGCCCCAGCCTCACACGCCGGAACGCACCGCACTAAATTTAAAAGATCACCCTCCCCCAACTAACTACACCCCGCCCACACCCAGGCGTGTGCCACTTGGGAGAGCCTCTCCCACCCAGAAAGAATCTTCTCTGACCCTCCAGGGACAGCGTCAGAGGACAATCTCGCTCTTGCTCTCGGGCGCTCTTACACCTGCCGACCCCTCCTTGTCTTTACAAGCCACGAGCCTGCAGCGGACCCCCCCTCCCCTATCAACCCACAGCGTAAGCTCAGAGCTGAGAGAGGGTTCAGACCCGCGGTATGGTGCAGCAAACCCAAGTCTCTCAAGAGTGACCCCCTTCTCAGTCCCCTCTGAATTTCCCACGCAAAAGACCCTGCATAGCCACAAACTCTCCCACTGCAGCGCGAAGGGCACGCGGGAAAGGCACGGCTGTGCCCAGCAGTGGCTCCTGCGGCTAGGGTGCAGGACACCCCCTTCCCCATGCATTCCCACTCCCACCCAGGAGTCAGCGGGGGAGGGGAAAGGAGAGAGTGGCAGAGAACTTAGAGGGCAAGGGAAAGGGAGGAGGCAAAGGACGCACCTCCCAGCATACAGGACCGCGGGACCGGCAGGCCAGGCGGACATCCCCCCTCCCCGGAAAGTCCTGCGCAGGATCCAAAGGAAGCGTGCGAGGCAGCTGGGAGGTGAGAGAGAAAAGCCCTGAGACTCCCTTACCTGATTTCCTCTTGGAACTGCCATAATCTCTGAAAAAGAAACAACAACAGATAGACATGGTTAGGACTGGCAGGGGCGCGGGGCTGCGGCTGTGGGGGCGCCCCCGGCGCGCTGTGGCCGTTCCCGGCGCCTCTGCTCATGTGATGCCGCGGCGGCCGAGGGAGCCGCGCGCTCCGCAGTCGCACGCACTGCGCGCCGCGATACCCGCCCGCCGCCGTCCCGACGGCCCGGCCTCCCGGCCGGCGCGATCGGCGGCTCGCCCCGCCCAGCCGCTCCGCGCAGCCCGCACCCGGACCGCGCCCCCGCCTGCCCCAAAGGGCTCACCTTTCCCCAGCCCTCACTAGATCAGAGACAGCTATCAGGAGGTTCTAGAGAGCTTGCTTATTAAACAGGGAAACTGAGGCTACCCGAGGGTGACCACTAGAACTCTGAACCAGGGCTGAGCCCCCTCCCACGCCCGGGACACTCCCAATACTTTGCGTTGCTAGCTCGGTGGCATGTTCACACTCCTGCAATTAGTTTGCATGACCCTTTGATTCAATGGTGCCCTCCCCCACCCTCCCAGGACTCCCGCAAGGCACACTAGCTGCTTTAAAGCACTCTGTCTTTGGGGACTGGCACAAGTGCTGAGCAAACACGGCCTGCAGGACCAGCATTTAGCAGCCGTAGTTCTTTTTCTTTAAAAACTAACGCTGACACTGAGCACTCTGCTCTTCAGAGTGTTCTGCAGGGGGACCTAGGAAGCTGGGAGGGGTAGGAACGGAGACTGAGCTTCTGAAGTGAGCCCTGGGTTCAAATCATGTCACTTAAAAGAAGTTTCTAACTTTAGGCATATAGCCCCTCCCACCCTCCATCTGCCCCAATGGACACTTCTGCCCTCCAGGCTCCCATAGACCTAGATAGACTCAGCATCAGGCAGGGCTGGCTGCTCCTTGTATCCTCCAGTCCCTCAACTTCCCTTTCCCCAGTCTCATGGATTCCTACGATCTGAATTCTGCTAATGCCCAGGAACAGCACAGGGGCCAGCTGGGGACTTATCTGGAGACAAGAGGAACTGCCTTCCTGGTCCCTGGAGGACCAAAGAAAATGCCACTTGTTACCCATTTTTGGCCAAACAAACTAGCTAGCTGGATCCGCTCTCTGGAGGAGGGTCCCATTGAGAAGGGCCAGCAGGCAGCCCGCAGGGAGAGACTCAGCCAACAGGAGTGTGACTGCCTACACAGCCCAGGATGCAGGCACCGCCCCACTCCATCCCCCAACGTCTGGGCAGGGCCTCGGAAGCTACACGTCTTGTTTGGCATTGGGACAAAGACAAAGCCTCACTATGTAGCCCAGGCTGGCCTTGCACTTTGCTTGCCTCTGCCCCCCAGTGCGAGGGACCAGCATGTGTCTCCCCTCCTTCTTGTCCAGGTTGAGAACCTCCCTTTGCAGACGAGGCTCACTCACTGCCCAGCATCACCCAGAGTGAAGAAGAGCTTGTGGTTCATAAGTCCCCGGGGAGAATCAAATCTGGAGGGCCCGTGGAGGCAGAGGTAGCTCTGTGTTGCCTCCGAAAAGGATTAGGGAGGATGGAGAGCAAGGCGTGGTGGCACAAGTTTGCATCCTATCACTCAGGAGAGGGAGGGGTCTCGCCCTCCTTGGCCGGCAGTGCTGACACAGAGTATCAGAGCGGAGGGAGCCTCCGCTGAGAAAATGCCTCTCCGTACCGCCAGGCTGCAGAGAAGCCTAGAGGGCACGTTCTCAATTGGTGATTGATGAGGGAGGGCCCAGCCCACTGCGGGTGCTGACATCCCTGGGCTGATGGTCCTGGGTTCTCTAAGAGAGCAGACTGAGCAAGTCATGGCAAGCAAGCCAGAAAGTAGCACCCCTCCATGGCCTCTGTATCCTTCTTGCCTCCAGGTTGCTGCCCTGCTTTGTTGGGGTCCTGCCTTTTTCCAAGGATGAACAGTGGTGTGAAAGTTTAAGACAAATAAACCCTTTCCTCCCCGGTCTGTTCATGGTGTTTCATCACTGCAACAGGACTCCAACAGGACACGTGCTGAGGCAGAAGGAAGACTGGCAGGGGCTATGCCCTAGCCCGCTTGGCAATGCCCTCTTGGTGTTCAAATGTGGGAAGAACTCCCAGCAGAAAAAGGATTATTACATGGTGGCTGTTTCTCACCCACAGAGAGAATTCTTTTTCCAGTTTTCCCGCTGAGGCTGGCCAAGAGGAAGGGCAGGACATGGCTAGCAATTCAGAGCCATCATTTCCCCAAAGGGCTTGCTGAGTTCTGGGACTCCACAGTCCCAAGGCTGCCAGTGGCCATGCAGGATGGCCACTTCAATGGCCGCCTTCTCCTGGCTGAAGGCTTCCTGAGATCGTCTTTGAGCTGGCTAGCAGGCCCAGTGTGGAGGCAGGTAAGCTGACAGAGAAGGCATAGGTCACATGTCTGGAGTGCCTTTGTACCAAGCACTACACTGGTGAATCTTGGGCTGACCATTCAATAGAATCATCTAGAAAGCTGGACAGAAACTCAGGGTGGAGCCACCCAAACCTCCCTGGTTGTCTGTGCTTCCTTTCGATTCTGGGGCTGAGCCAGGGTTGCATAAGCACCAGGCCCCAGCCACCTCAAAAATATTCATGTGGAGAAGCAGCAGATTTCCAGACAGAACTCTGGTCTAGTCCTACTATTAGGGTCTGCAGCCCTTCTCCCAGGCTTCCTGGCTCTCTCCCTGTAGGTACAATGTTCTCTTCTTTCAAGTAAGAGGGGCAAAGACTATAGATACTTCCTTGTCCAAAACCAGGCAGGGAGTGGGTATGGTTGGGTTGGGCCCCACACCGGGAACCCTGGTTTAGCTCTGAAGCTACACACAAACTCTCAAGATCCACCTTCCTGGAGCTGTGGGTGCAGGAGTAGAAGGCAGAAGCCTGGGGTCTGACAAACAGGGGGGTAGGTGAGGAGACAGTCAGGGTAGCTGGCTCATAACGGAGTGGTAGGGTGGCCATTAGAGGGATCCATAAGGTGCCTGGCCTTTAGCTCAGGGAAGGCATTGCCCTAGTAGAAAATCTCTGAGGAGATTTCTGGTTGGGCACCTTTCAGCAAAGTCATTTTGTATTTTTAGCTACTGAATATGCTGAGAAGCAGCTTAGGTGTCTGGGACTCCCCCGTCCCTCACATATGAAAAGGCAGGGCTCTCCCACCTCAGGCACACCCACCTTTCATTACTCTTCATTCTGTCCTGGACTGACAGGACAGACCCTGTTGGACCCCCTCTTAGACCCTCTCTTGGGGTCCAATTTCCCAACAAGTCAAATTTCCTCCTCACTGGATTGTGATCTTAAGTTGCCTGGACTGTGCTCTACTCCCCGGAAGTCACAGTCCAGCCTGTCTCCAACCTCCTGCTGAATCACTAAGTCACAGAGAGCCACAGGAAGGAGCAGGGGAGGGAGGCCAGCATCTCTCTCTCATGCTGCCAGAAGCTAATGTAATTGGAAAGGTCTCCCAGGCTCCATCAGGCTGTTCAGCCTTTTAGCTGGCCAGCAGTGACTAAGACAACAGGCACCAACTGTGCTAAGAAAACTGGAACATGGGATTTGTCGTGAGCAAATGGGACATACTGGGCCTGGTGTTTCCCTGTGGTCCACAGGTTATAGGAGAAAAGGCCATTCTCCCCCTACAGCTCTCTGTCTGTGTCTACAAAAGGAGAGTCACACCATTTTTCTCTGAGCCCTTCGAGGGGAGATGCGATCAGGCACATGTGAGGCCAAAGCCTCCTGTTCTGAGCCAGGCTGCTTGCGTGCTGGTGACCCTGAACTCCGCCTTTAGCCCTGAACCCCGACTTCACCATAAACAGGATGAGGACAGTCACAGCCCGTCACAAGGCCAACTCCCAGGCGAGGACGGAGGATACGGTGCTGCTGTACAGGATTATTCTGGAAGTTAAACAACAGCCACTGTTGGGAGTTCAGCTTTGAGAGTTTCCATCCCTCACACAAGGGCAGACAGGGTCACGAGATCCTCTCCTGAGCAGCCAGCTGCTCCACACCACGTAATGTCTGTAACTCTGCCCTAATTGCACATGGCCTGGGGAAAGGGCTTGAGTATATAGGCCAGGGAAGACTAGGGGAAGGGACTATGTGACTACGGGAGAGCCATCATCCCTGCCTGGTAAAAAGACTGTCTGCTGTGGCCTTTTGAAGGAGAGCAGCCACACTCCAGAAGGTAACCCCCAACCTATGCTTTGTAAGTAAGCCCAATAAACACATTGGTTTCCCAGAGTGAACGCTGGTGGAATCGTGCCTGAAACTTAGGGGTAGGGGTGTACAGGGTTATGTCTTCCCCCAGGGAGAAATTTAAACAGCCAGTGTGCTGGGAAAAAAAAATAGCCTCGCTAGAATTAGTGTTAACTGTCAACTTGACATAATCAAGAATCATGCCGGATGCCAGCCCCCAGGCACACCTTTAAGCTGCTCTCTAGATGACAGAGTTTTTTAAATTTGGGATGCTTGGCTCAGGAAGATGGCTCAGCAGGCAAAGGGGCTTGCTGCCAGCCTGATGACCCAAGCTTGATTCCAAGGACCCACATGGTAGGAGAGAAATGGCTACCAAAAGTTGTTCTGACTTCATACATATGCCATAGACTCTCTCTCTCTCACACACACACACATTAAAATATAATAAACAATGTTTTGTAAAAGTTTTAAAAACAAGCTCCTGAATTCAAACATATGTATCACCATTAAGCTGTCTGTTGGGGAGTTTTATTATTATTAGGGAGTATTATTATTATTATATTTATTTTTAAAGATGGTCTCCATCCATTAGCCCAGGCTGATTTTAAAATGGAAATCCTCCGGCCTTGGACTCCCGAGGGCTATGACTACAAGTATGTAGTACGTGTAGCTTCAGGTTTTCCTTCCTTCTACTGTTTCATTTCTCCAGGTGAGGCCTGTCCTCTTCTCTACACATTCTGTGACGAGGGAGAGGCCGCAGCAGTGGGCGAGGAAAAGACTGGCCTTTTTGCGTTAGCGACCTGCTTCTGTGGCTAC